TCTATTTCCAGCTTTCTGAGGAAGTGCCATATTGTTTTCCAGAGTGGTTGTACAATTTTGCAATCCCACCAGCAATGTAGGAGGGTCCCAGTCTCTCTGCATCCTTGCCAGCGTTTATTTACAGCCTCAGAAACCCTGTGCATGGTCATTATGAGTCGGAACCGACTCTACAGTACTTAACAACAACGACAACTTTTTTGATCTTTGCTGTTATTGCTGGTGTGAGATGATAGCTCATTGTTGTTTTGCTTTGCATCTCTCTAATGGCTAGTGATTGTGAACATTTCTTCATATGTTTTTTGGCTGCACAGATCTCCTCCTTGGAGAAGTGTCTGTTCATGTCCTGTGCCCATTTTTTAATTGGGCTATTTGTCTTTTTCTGGTAGAGGTGTTGTAGTTTCCTATATATTTTAGAAATTAGTACCGTGTCTGATACGTCGTTGCAAAAGACTTTTTCCCTTTCTGTGGGCTTTCACTATTTTGGGTACCTTTCCTTTCTTTCTTTTTTTTTTTTTTTTTTTAAAGCTTTTATTGTGAATTGAATGATAGTTTACATGGGAGAATATTAGTTTTGCATTCATCCTATTGCTTATTGTAGTTTGTTTCATTGTAATGATTACAATCCCCTCCACGTATCACCATTTAAGAGTATTTGCTTCTATTTTTTTTTTTTTGTCTTTGTTTGTTTGTTTGCTTTTTATGTACACAAAAATACTCAGGCATATATAATCATTTAAACAACCAAAGGGCACATTCTCCAAGCCAGCCTCCAAGCTGCAGGCACACAGCTTTTCTCCTTCTATGAGTCAAGAGTCCTCAGCTTCTCTATCTCTCCAGGCCATAATTTCTGCCTCCAACTTTGATGTCACTGTTTCTCTGGTTAGGGTTCTACATTATGCTCATGCTCTTCACCCCTGATGTTCCTATGGTCCTTTGTTCCTGGAATGTAACATAAAATACACCCCCTTTTATGTTATAAAACTCCTACCTTTACAGCTGTGACAATCTGAATTAGAAACATTTGCCAGTGCATAAAGGAGCTCTGGTAGCGTAGTGGTTACAAATCGGGCTGCGAACCTCAAGGTCAGCAGTTCGAAACTACCAGCTGCTCCTCTGGAGAAAGATGAGGCGTTCTGCTCCCGTAAAGATTAACAGCCTCAGAAACCCTGTGCGGGGTCGCTATGAGTTGGAACCAACTCCACGGCACATAACAACAACAACAAAAGTTGTATAGAATATCTCTAAGGGCCAAAGTTTCTTAGTAAATGATGGGCTAAATAGGAAGCCTGCCTCATAAACAGACCAAATTAGATATTTGCTGTGAAGTGCCATCTAGTTAATTCTGACTCCTAGAGATCCTGGATAAGGTTTCCGAGGAGCAGCTGGTAGGTTTGAACTGACAGTGTTACAGTTAACCAGTCCTTTCTTTATATTGTAGTGTCACACCAGAAGTCCAAACTAGATGGCATACTTAAACTCTAAGCACAGCAAATGAAGGGTTCCCTTCCATGCCAATCCAATGCAGTGTTTTGTTTTGTTTTTTAATGTTTTATTGTGAATTATGTGATAGTTTACATGGGAGAACATTAGCTTTACATTTATCCTATTGTATATTGTTTCCTTGGCATGGTTCCAATCCCCTCCATGCATTATCAACCAACCAAAGGGTATACCC